GCTCATATATGAAACCCTGAATGTTTGTTTGCTTCGAAACAAAGACGACCGCTTTTTAAAAAAAAACAAATTTCAACCCTTGGCATGTTAGAGTAACCACAAGTATGTTTCAGGGACCTTTCCACAACAACCCTCACGTCTTCTTCCATTCCATTGACTGGAGATCATGAAGTTGATTCTGACATCATGGCCTTTGTTTTGGCCCGAAAAAATTTCCTCAGCAGGATAGGTAACACACACACATGTTCTCTCAGATCTTTCTGTCTTCTCAAGAACTTTGCATTGACTTCCATTCATTTTTTTTATCTATTTCAATAACCTGCACCCGGCCCTTACAATTCTCACCTTGGTCCTAAACCTAACCCCTAACCCAAAAGCAGCACTTGTTCTTATTGAGACTTAAAGTGTATTAAATACAAGGTCATATACAGAGGCATGCACTGATACAGTTTTCACACAAAAATCGGTGCAAACTGTTCTCATGGGTGATCATCACTGCACTCTAGTGGTGTGATGAGTTACAATGCATCACAAAGTTTTGTTCGCATTAAAGAGCTTGAGTTCATCAGACAATACAGTGCCTCAAAAAAACTTGAGTTTTTCCAAGTTTTGTCCCACTGGATTTCAGCGTGGCCATTCTGACACGTCCATGCACTTTGATCTAAACCTTAGCGGTCAAACTCCAGGCCTTCTGCAACTTTTCGATGCATCTCTCGTCCTACACCCCACAACCACAGGACTCTGTAGAGCTTGAGGGGATGAGGAGGTGATTCAGTCCTTACATTAAGGTGTGTTGGACTTGGGACACATCAAAAAGTTGCAGGACAGCAGCCCTCAAAAACTAGAGTTTGACACCCTGAACTAATTTTATTATTAAAATTTGGCCTATTGGCTGATTTTGAGATTAAATGTCTCACAGCCTCCTAGTTTTGGTGCAAACCTTAAACCTCAATCTACCTTCAGTTCTACTATTCATTTTCCATTTTCTGATATTATGGTTATAACAGTGTTGTTGTAGAATAGTTTGACATATTTACTCAGAGAAACACCAGCTCAATACATTTGTCGGTTCTCCTATTTAAAATTTTGTGTAGATGTTTGCTTTGCCAACAGCAGATTTTGTCGTCAGATATCCAGAGAAGCTGAGGTCATAATCTACTTGAGCTTTTACACTACTTTTTTTTTTTTACAACACAAGAAAAAACAGTCTGACTTTTAAGGCATCTTAAACTCAACAGCTGAGTTGAGTTTAGTTTTTAACTAATAGAGGAAAGGAAAAGTGCACCAAGTGTTGCTATCTGTCAAATCTGTGCTGTGTTAGATATGATAGCCACTAATCAAGTAGGTCTGTGCTTTGTGTATTTTAGGCCCCCGTTAAATGAAGTGAAGATCTAACAAGGAGCCATATCATCACTTCCAGCCAAACGAATGGTCTGGGAATTTGTATTGCCACACACCACTCATGCTTTCTTATTCTGGACAGCAGCATAAACCACAGACTATGTCTAACGTTTGATCTAAACCCTTTTACTAATAAAACAACAGAGAAAAGACATAAGAATAACCAGAAAAGAGCTGCAGTATTTGTTGAAATCTTGTGAAGCTTTTTAATTGGTGACATGATGTTTCAACATTTAGAAAGAAGTGCTTTTTTATATTTCCAGCTGAGTTTGTTCTATTAATTTTTATGTGAATTAATATACAACTATGGGATGTAGTGTGAATAATAAAGCTCTTCATTACTTTGCCCAAACAATTAAGGCAAAAATAATGCAACTGTGAGATCCTGATATGTCTGAACCATCACTTCATTGTGCTGTTGTTCTGCACTCTAGGAAACAAGTTGCTGCCAGGGTGCAAAGTTTTTATTTTTTGTAGTTTTGTCCTCAGAGAAAAATACTTTTGCGATGCTACAAATAGCACCTGTGCTTTGTGTTGACCTTTTTATCCTATTTTCTTGTTCAACTCACCAGGACAGTTTACCTAGCAAAATTTTCTCAATCTCAAAAGGGGATCTTCTGTGTAAGAGGAAAATTCAGGAAGACAGCCCATTACTAGGTAAATTTATTCTTAATTTCTGGGAAAACCTTGAGGTCATTGTATAAAAACAAGTAATCGGCTGTGTCCTTTAGATCTTTAGATCTCCTTAAAGCCACAGGGAAGAAGATCCAACCAGCCACTGTGGAACCACTTCTACCTTTCAAACAACTTGTCAACATTTTGCATTGCTTTGCATTAATTTGTTTGACGGATGACAAGAAGTTGCACACTTTGCATTCAGTTCTAGGCTCTTGTCGTTGCCTTGGATATTTCACCAAGACAACTCACCCTTCAAAGTCGTATCTGTTACATCGCGTCGCCATAACGTTAAACTCCATTTTGACGACTGCATGAAATGTTTTATGATCTGTTTAAATATGGAGTAGTAGAAATCCATTCATCCATTAGCTAGAAGACAGAAGGCGGGTACAAAATTCAGTTTCTAGACAGAAACTGAATTTTATTTAGTTCACATTACAGTATTCAGTTCCTGTTTGTGTTCAATTCATATATTTAAAATATAAACCAATATGTATATATACAACCAATAACATCCATGCATACTGAGCAGCCATAGAAACTGTTTCATTTTCATCTTAATTATTAGAGGTCGACTCACCGTCCCCATTGCAATGGGAATCACAAATTACTTAATGGATTAAATATTTATTGGGCTATTATGCTTAAGGCACCAATGTTGCCTGATGATAATATATTTATAACCATTTGCATTTACTTTTTACTTTTAATGCTTATAACTAATATAGATATTTGTGACTGTTATCAGAATGCTTATTGATAGTTATATATGCATTGTGATGATAGAAAAAAAGAGTTGGAAGACAAATGTGCTTTTATCACAGCCAGTATTGCCACAATATTTAGAAATAATATTGCAATATCATTCTTTAATGGTATGCATTCCTGGTCATTTTAATGCCATCTATGCTGATTCATTTGATTTTTTTCCATGTCACACAAGGAAACAATGTGTTTGATGTGTTTGATGCGTGGCCCCACCAGTACATCTGCACGTGGAGCCACAACTTAACTTAAATGTTGTGACAAAACCATCATCCTAAATACGTAAACACCTCTGCCTTTTACGATACAAATCATTTGAGGAAAGTATTAAAGAACTTCTGTCATTATCCTGGCATTTAACTAACAAAACCCAGGTTTTTTGACGAAACTCAGATAGTTTAAAACCAAATCTACACAATAGTAAGAAATCATATGTAAACTTGGTTTGTGGTGGTAGCAAAAGCAGCAGAAGAAGCATATCCAAGACATGAGGCCCATCTACACTGCCATGACTTAGAAGAGACCAAAGTGTCGAGGTGAATTATCTCTTTTAAGTGTAGCTGCATCCCAGTGCTGTCCCATAGAGTTGCTTAAGGCTGCAGCTGTGGGTGTGGTGTATTCTTTGACAAACTGGGTAGAATCATCATAGTAAAATACTATTTGTAAACAGGAAGGCATTTTAAGGTTATGGAAAATAGCAGGCACATTTTAACAGTGTCAAATTTGCCTTCTCTTTAAACAAGGTTTTCCAAATTTCCAGTAATCCAGCTAAGTTCTAATTAATCATGATGAGGCTATGATTAATTATAATAGCATCACTATTCAAATGAAAGAAAGCTTAAAAACATTCTGAAATTAAAACCTGTCACCTGCTTAACACAGTTGGTTCTTAAGAAAAAGGAAACGGTTTTCACTTTAAAAGGATCTTAATTATTTTGGATAATTTGGAATGTCTCTGAGCAGTAGCCAGGTGGTACAGTAAGCTGCAGCTCCAGCGATAATATCTATTCAGCCACATTTCCACATAATGCTGTTAAAGATCTTCATTCTGAAAAGCTTTTTTAAGTCTTTAGTTTCTGGTTTATGTTCAAGAAATGTTTCAAACTCCTCCCATGTGACAATGAACAGCTCTGGTTCCAGATGTGATGGAAAACGTGCAGAAACTGTTCCAGCTGAGTTGTAAAAAGACTGAGCATTTATACTGGTAAGACTTTAAAAGCTAATTTGTAAAGAAACTGAATCAGACGAACGAGACAAAATACCACATGTATCCAGGCCTGCATCTGAGACTAAAAGTGAAATACTGTAAAAACAAAACCGTTGGCCTCAGATACAAGCTCTGATACGTGGGATTTTGTCTAGTTGAAATCACAACCGTCAGAGTGTTTTATTTGTGTTTTTGTGTTTTATCTGTCAAAAAGTAATGCAGTCCTTAGCAGCCCCACCTTCTGACTATTGACGGCTGGACTGTATTTTATTTAGGCATCAAATGAAATGCATTAAAATTCTTGGATGTAACGACACAAAATGGGATCAGATCAAAGGATATAAATTCTGCTCTCAATTTATTTTCTACTCCGGACGTCAAGCGTTGCAATAACTTCCAGACCAGCTCCTCTAACATATTGACAGATTTCACATTTATACAGTTAAAGCACCGCCAACCTCCAGATCCCAAAGTAGGAGACCAGCATCCGAGGGTGTCAAATGGAAACAGGTAAAACATTAACTTTTGTTCTGCTGACAAGATACTGCCACTGCTTCCTTATTAGTGGAAACAGAGGAAAGCTTGGGACCAGATGTCGCTCGCTAATTGAGGAAAAGAGTTTGCCCGTTACCTCAGTAACCCAGAAATCAGCACCCATGCTCCTCTGATCAATGAGACTGAAGACTTTGCCATTCAGAGAGAGATACATCAGCCTGAGCGGCTGTGAAGTTAAGCAGGACTGCTTTTTTCAAAATACCTCCCTTTTTCTTTTAAGAATGCATTTTTCTAACGTAACAGGGCATCTATTTGGAGAACTTCACAAGAACCGCTGAACATAGAAATCCAATCTTCCTCTTTTTTTTAAAGTACTTTTCTGGGGGGTTTTTTTCTGAGCTTGAGCCCCAGGCATTTTTGTCTTTTTCTGGTGTTGTGGTGGGGAGGAGGGTTAATGGCGTGGTTTCATCTGGCTCGGGTCAAAGTGAACTGGACAGCACTTTTAATTTTGGCCCACTTCACATACCTGCTGATCGGGGCTATCATCTTCCAGATTCTGGAAAGAGAAGCTGAGAGCAACAATAGAAACCACTTCCAGCTGGAGAAACTACATTTCCTGACTAATTACACCTGCTTGGATGGTCCTGCCTTGGAGAAGTTTGTCCAGGTTTGTTTTTTTTTTCGTATTATTAATCTGAAACATTTTTTTTTAGGTTAGGAGAGGTTAAAATGCATGGTTTAGAGTTATTTTCCACTGTGTGGAAATAACAAAGGCTTCAGCCTCATACAAATAAAACCAATTCATTATGTCAATATTTGGTACATTTGGTTTGTAAAGCTGAAAAATCAATTTTATTATTAGGTCAGGCTTACCGCATTAAATGGTTTTACAGTAACTGGTTTGAAAGATCAATAAGTTTGTCGTAATTTACAACATTTGACAAAATCATTACCCAAAGTGATTTATCTCAAGAATTTAAATGGAGTGGCTTCCATAAAAAGATCTGTTAAAATTAATTTTAAAAATGATTGCAGTAAAATATGTTCATTTCCAATCTATTGGCTTATCTTTATTCATCTTGACAATGGTGGCAGTGGTGTAATTATTTATTTTTTATTGACCTTTTTTACCTTTTTAGTTTATTTAGATTTTTATGGTTATATATTATCTGTTTTTAACAGTACGAGTCTTTTTAAAAAGTATTATGAAATGTCTAATTTATTCCCTTTCAGTTGTGTAAGTTTTGCTAATTGAATAAAAATATTTGAATACTACCAAGCCTGATGTAATTTACCCTGACAAATAAATGACATTAAATCAAATAAACTGAGGAAATCAGCTAAATCATTTCTTATTTCTAAAAGAAATTCATGTATAACTCATTGTAGATTTAAAAAAAAAATGTTTGTTTCACAACCTTCTAAACCCAAGCTTGGTTATGCAAGAATATTTCTGTTCAAGCCTGTCAATCATTGCTGATTTATGTTTTAATGTGCATTTTACTCTGTATGCAGGTGATTTTATATGCCTGGGAAAAGGGAGTGAACCCCTCAGGCAATTCAACCAACCCCAGTAACTGGGATTTCAGCAGCTCCTTCTTTTTTGCTGGCACAGTTGTCACAACCATTGGTAGATTGATGTTTTAACCTTTCAGCTCCCGTTGTTGTAAAACACGATGCTTCATTACATCTTACTTGTCTGCTTCACAGGTTACGGAAACCTCTCCCCGAGCACAGTGTCTGGTCAGGTGTTTTGTGTGTTTTACGCACTCTGTGGTATTCCTCTGAACCTGGCTTTCCTGAAACAAATGGGCAAGTGTCTGACCATTCATCTGGGTCGACTAGAGACAGGAATAGTGGCGGTTGTTCCTCACAAGGTTCTGACATGGCTCTCTCTTATTTTGCAATTCAGCGTATAAGTGATGGTCTCATATATTGGCTAAATAAACAGTTTTTTTTTTCTGTCCCAGAAAGCCGTGGAAGCGCTGGCAGTCAGTTTGTTCTTCATCACCGGCAGCCTGCTGTTTCTCGTCATCCCTCCTCTTCTGTTCAGTTATGTGGAAGGCTGGACATTTGGAGAGGCCTTCTACTTTGCCTTCATTACCCTCAGCACCATTGGTTTTGGAGATTATGTAGTGGGTGAGTAGAGACAACAAACCACTAATGTGCTAGAAAGGCTGCAGCGGTCACTTCTGTCTACCTAAAGCTCCCAGGTCTCATTCTGTTGAATAAGTCAGCGAGGCGTTGGAAGATTAATGTGCGCTCTGAACTCAGACAAACTCTCTTAACATGTTCTTACATGTTTCTGCTTAAAGGCACCGACCCAGGGAAGGAGTACATCTCCCTGTACCGCTGCCTTGCGGGCATTTGGATCATCTTCGCGCTTGCTTGGCTTGCGCTCATTCTTAACATGGGAGTGAGGATCATAGAGAACCTGGTTATCCTAACTCACCCAGGTTTTAAGAAGCATGAAGAAGAGGATGAGGAAGTTTCCTCCAGTAAATTAGAAGTCACATCAAAGATCTGACAATGGACTTTAAATTTTTTCAAGCAATATTATAATTTACTTAATGTTTTTTTTTTTCCTTTCTCTCTCTCTAAGATCTCTCTTAATACAAGAAGAGGCAACAGCAGTTTTAATACATGCATATATTAGTGATGTATTGTGTTCTACCTCAGTGTGAAAGGGTTAAGGCTTGGCTTGATCAGGAATCTGTTTTTTCCATTCTATGTTTCTCTTCTTGTTCTCTTCTGATTCCCACCCGTATGATTAGATGTTCAAACAGGAAGCTCATATCTGGGCTGTTATTTCATGACACCATGTCAGATTGAATGTGTGTGCGTGTGTGTGTGTTCATTGTCAGTCCACATCTGTGCTTGTGTGCTGATGGGAGAACCAAGTGAATTGAGCACGGACGGCTATCTTAAACCAACACATTAATCAAGATGGTGATGCGAGGTGGAAAAAAAGGAGGATGGCCCTCACCTGACACTACCTTATGTTTTTCAGAAGACACGATTAAAAACACTAAATACACATATCTGACATTCATTCAAGATGCCGTGCAAAGGAGCTCATACAGCTGGGACTTTTTCACAATTTGTCATGTATTCACAAACTTTTATGTTTTTGTTCCTATTGTATTGCACAATGATGGAGTAGAAGGAAGAGGACGCAGGGTTCATTAGAAATAAAAATCTGAAATATGTCATATGTCTTCATTCCTGATGAATCAATACTTTTCAATACAACCTTTCAGTGCATCGCAGCAAACTGGTTTAGGTTTTTTTGGGGTGGATCGCTATCATCTTTGCAAAGCTGGAGACAGACATGAACATCTAGATATATTCCAAGATTAAATCACATTCTGCTAGACTCTGTTTACTTATTCGGGGATTGCCAAAGACAGTTGATGGCGCTATTTTTTATTAAGGGGTATTATTTTGAAAGAGATTGTGTTATCACATAAGATCTCAAACTTCCCATTAAAGCCTTTGGTTCTAAGCTGACAAGATGTGAGAAATTTTGAAGCGAGGTGCATATCTTAGTTTTCCTAAGACATGGTACATTCCTACTTGTGCTGCCGTGTCTCCCTTATCTTACTTTGCTCCTCAGGATTTGCATGTCAGGCCAATGAAGTGATTCAAACAGTAGTGCTCTGGAAAGGTTGATTTGCCTGTGATGTGAGTCCACCAGGTAAACTCTCTCTACTCTTTGCACCTGACTGCAGAGGCTGAGACTCCGAGCTAAAATTGGAGGTCAACGTTCAGACTGCCAGGCCAACATGGGAGTGAAGGAGATGTTTAATCTGGCCCGGGTGCCATCCATTCTCATGCTTGGTTTGATTTATGTGGCCTATGTGCTGATTGGTGGTGTGATTTTCTGGAAACTGGAAGGAGATCTTGGAAGGAAGGATCTCTCCAAGTTACTCCTCAACAAACAGAGGCTGCTGATGACGTACAGCTGCCTGAACCAAGAAGGTCTAGAGGAAGTGGCTCAGGTAAGGTACTCCGAAGTCTGATTATGATTCAATGGATTAGTTAGAATAATCTAAAGTGTAACATAGACGTGTAAACTCCTAATTCACTTGTCCTTTTAGATATCGCTGCACTCATAATGGATCACAATACACTTCTGTGTCATTTGCTTAGTAGATTTTTAAACATAGCGAGGTCTGTTATGTGATTTTTAAATTTTGATTACATTTAATGCAGAGGAATTCTTTCTGTGACTTCACAATCATTTTAAAACCTCAAACAGAAAATCAAAATTAAAAAATAATTTGTATATTTTGCCATCAGATTTTAATTTAAGTTTCAACTAGAAACCTTCATTCTATCATTAGAATAAACTCATAAACTCACTACCATCAAACATGCTATGATATGCATCAGATGATCAGAAAGACAGCAAAAAATGTAAACAGTTGGGTCCATGTTTACATGGTTTTGGGACAGAAGAATCTGGATAAAACCATCCAGGTTGTCCTGGATTTGTGATGATGCGGTGGAGCATCACAGTTTATTAATAACCTGCAAGTGAGTAAAGGTCCTATCTATGCAAAAGCAAATTGGAATCCACTATGTTCCTGCATACATTGATAGTCTTGATTGTTATACAATAATAATAAGGTTACTATAAAGACACATAGATTCCATTCTGAATCCTAAAGGATCTTGCAGCCGCATTATCAGCCCTGATCAGGTGTTTTGTGCTTTTACATCTGAGAGCACATTAAATGTGTGTTAGGATATGTGGTCATAAAAAAAATTGAGGTGTTGTGAAATATCTCATCTAAACAAACGTAGATACCTTACTTGTTAGTCCTGAAACCTAAAATCATATCTGATGTTCTCTCTGCAGAAATGCTAGTCCAATTTTTCTATGATTGTGTTCCAGTTTAGATTTGGTGTCTTGTCTGTGGGTAAAGTGATCAAAACTGAATCTTAGTACACCACTAATATAATGAGAAAGACTTTGCAAAGGAGAAAAAATCCACATAGCAGAAAAGTTATACTTTAGATACTTAAGCCAGTTTGAAAAAACACAGACACAGAGTCAGGTGTTTATGATCCAGCTGAATGCAAAGCAGGTGTCCAATCCCTTCATCTAATAAATCATTAAAATACCCATTAGCTTTACTCAATTGAATCCCAATGGAGTGATTCATCCTGTGAAATACAAAACAAACCTAGAGGAACATGACAAAAATATTAGAAAAATATCACATCTTATTTTTAAGGTACCAGGATACCACACACAGCTGTATTTCTGTGCACAGTGGAATAATTTATTGTAATATAATTCATAACAGAGTTGAATGTTGAATCCATTAGAAGAAATGTCTTCATAGGAAAATTTAGATTTTATTAGTGACAAAAATAGGCTTTTGTAGAGCTAAAATAAATCTCGCATAAAATTTGGAATTTTGGTTTGAGCCTTTTGAAATTTGGGAAAATTAAGAAATTTGCAATAGAAGTTCGGGAACAGACACAGACTTTTCAAACATGACTGTTTGATTTGATATCAAATCTAAGCAATAAAGAAAGGGGGTGGGGAAGCATGTAATAACAAACAGGCAACCCCTTTTTCATGCAAATATCTTGTGGAAACTTTTAACTCTGCTTTGCCTACATGAGTCAGACCTGGAAGGCGTTGACTGGCCACAAAAGTTCTCAATGTTCTGTTAGGAGAACGCGGGATTTATTAAAACACATAAGAAGCACACGTAATATTGACGTCTGTTCAAATTTATGTTAGAACTTGAAACTATTGACCAGGTGAATGTCCTGCCACTCAGTAATAGAAAGACGATTATTTGTATTGTTTTAAAGCAAATCCAGCTAAATTTGTAAAGAGGAAGAACAAAAATCTCAGATATAAGCTAACTCCCTGCATATTTACTTGTAAAGCCATCGGAGTGTGAATAAAACAACCTTAACGTAAAGTATTGCAAACTTTGACCCTGTTATATGCAGTATTTTTAATATCTCACCTTTGGTGCTGAACTCTGAACACAGAGGTGGGAAGATATTCTACTGTAGAATGCTGATTGCAATGATTTATTGACCAGAATAGCTCCACGGTGTTCTAAAAGTGGAATAGATTACTGTGAACAGGAGTCACACGTGGTTAATAAAGTATGATTATATTGATAAATGTAAACTGTAGAAAATTTCAGCCTTCCCTTTTTTTCCCCTCTTTTAGGTTGTTCGAGATGCTTCAAAGGCTGGTCTGAGTTTGAAAGGCAACCAAACCTCGGATGGCTTCTGGAAATTCACCAGCTCGGCTGTGTTTGCTGCCACTGTGGTTACAACTATAGGTCAGGACCACATACTTTTACACACTTCCTGTGAAGTATGACCTGCTGAAAATGACAGCCTGCCCAGTTATATATCAACCTAATTTTGGAAATGATATCTAATCTCAAAAGAAGGCCATTGTGATAAAAATGTGTCTAGATGATTATGTTTGGCTCACTCTGTCAAGATTATTAGCTTTCTGAGTACAGCTAGAGTAGTAGTTAAAGGCTAGACCAGTTATGCACCATTATTCTAACATGTTATTTTACTTATTCTATTTCTACGGTTTACTGCTATTTCCTCCCATAGTAAAAATCTCGTAATTTAATGTGTTAATTTTCTACTAAAGTGGATTATCCAACAGAGGTAGAAAAGTACTTACAAGTGCATTTACAGGAACAGTTTCCATAGGATTTAATTTTAGGAAGTTATCAGCTGTCCAAATTGACTAAAAAACTGATCATCAGGTCTTTGGAAGAAAGGGAACACCTTTGCCAACCGCCATTGAATTTCAGGAAGAATAAGGGACACCGAAAACATGCAGGACAGGGATACTTGAGGATGAGGTTTGGGAACATTTTTTGCCATGAATGTCAACACTGGTAAATAAACAGCACCATGCAGACCCAGGAAAACAGCAGACAGGTCAGGGATAACGTTGTGGAAGAGGTTGAAACAGGGCAACATTGTAAAGCAATATCCCAAACCTTGAACATCTCACTGAGTGCTGTTCAATCCATCATCCAAAAATGGAAAGAGTATGTCATAATTGCAAACCTTCCAAGAAAATGGCAATCCACTTCAAATAAAAGGCTTTGTGTTGGCCTATCCCAAAATGTGTCAGTGGAATATGTGGTTCTATAACTCACATGTGGTTATAACATGACAAAATAAAAAAAGTTCAAGGGACATTTATAGTTTTGTAAAGTATTAAAGGACACAGTCTTCCCAAGAACGAACCTCCCAGCAAATTCACTCCAAGGTCAGACTTTGCAAAACTGAGAGTAATGTCTGAAGTCCAGTAGCTCCACCAGCATGTTAAATGAGACCAGATGTCTGGCCATAGTGCACACCTAAGGCCATGAACTAAGGACGATGTTGGGGTGTTGGTGGTACGGGCTTGGTACATGCTGTCAGTCTGTAGGGTAATGTTATTTTTAATCATTCATATTTACAAAGATAAAGATAAAGCAGTCCATCTGCCATCAAACGGTGAGATATTATAATGTTTCTATTTTAACAGGTTATGGAAACATGAGCCCCAGTTCAACAGTTGGTCAGATCTTCTGCGTCTTCTTTGCACTCTTTGGGATTCCTCTTAACGTAGTGGTGCTCAACAGAGTGGGCAAGTACATGCTCGCATTGGAGAGAAATGTCTCAGACTTCCTAGAAGGCAAATCTGGACGAAAGGTAAGCAAGTGATGAGGACGAAATAAGTATTTTTTTTTTTTGTTCTGTTCCTTGGAATGTGGCCAACGTCACTGTTCTCTCTTTCCCTGGTGAAACTGTAGGGGTGCACACGGTTTTTTGTCCACCTGTTCTGCTATGTCTGTGGCACCGTCCTGTTCTTCATCGTGCCCATGCTTGTGTTCCAGCAGCAAGAGGGCTGGACCTACTCCCAGGCCATCTACTACTGCTTCATCACCCTCAGCACCATTGGTTTTGGGGATTTTGTAGCAGGTACAGCACCGCCCAAAATCCCAAACATCCACCTTACTGTTTTAACTTTTATTCTTGATTGTCACAAAGACACAATTCTTTGGTGTTGCTTTCTAGATAGTAATCCAGACAAAGACTACCCTGACTGGTACAGCGTCCTCATGGCCTCGTGGATCTTTTTTGGCCTGGCCTGGCTCGCTCTGCTCATCAACCACTCCATTGACATCCTGGAGCGGCTTAACTCCCTCCTCAAAAAAGGCTGCTGCAGTGAGAAGACACAGGAAGAGTCTGAGAGCACAGACAACAACAACCCTGACACTCAAATGGAGGATGATGATGAGATCAAGAAGACTCCAATAACTCAGTAATCTATAACAACAAGGTGTAGGTTTTAGTGAGTCAATTACATGACCATTAGCCCTATATTTAGGATATGGGAACTGGTGACAGGCTGTGAATGCATGTGTTATCAGGCTATAAATGCTGTAATTCTTCATAATCACCAGTTCATTAGCTGATCAAAGGTTGCAAAGTTCTGATAAGTGGCCAGCGAGCCAAAAAAGAAAGCAACATGTCTCATTATGTTCCACAGAGGAGATACAGTTTGTGTTTGTAGTTTGCGTTGTACGAGTCACTTGTACAAATTTCCAGAGATGCAGCAAATAGTCATACATGAATCTGTGTAAAAATAATGATCTATATCATTAAAAACCTATGTTTCATTAAGATGTAATGCTGATGATGTTTTTATACTCCTCATTTAGTTTTGTCTTCTTTAATAATCACTTAACAAAAATCGGGCATCTGTTGAAAAAAATTTAATTTAAAAAACTAAACTAAATTTAAATTTTGTTGACCACTCCAAACAGTGATGTGTGTCTTACATTAAACTCTAACTGGGTGATTTAGGACTTGCAGATTTTCAGAGACTTAGGTGCAATTTTTATTTAGGCTTTTTACTATTGAGCATCAATTCAGCAGATGACTAAAAACTGTTTGTTTTTTTTATTTCCATTTGAGGAATATCTCAAATAGACTTTAACTAATGAGTCATCATTAGTCAAAGCTTAGACTAATGATGTCAACAAGTAATCTTAAGATCATGATTCATTCCTTTGTCTCAGCTGGACTATTGTAATGTCCTTTTTACTTGTTCAGGAAGAATAGGCTGGCTGCTCTTCAGGTTGTTCAAAACTGCAGAGAGACTGTTGGTGGGCTCACACAGAGGATCTCATATGGCATGTTTTATAGTTGCTACACCGGCTGCCAGTCAGATCTACGTTTTAATTTAAAATGTTAGTCTTAACCGTCTGAGCTTTACATGGACAAGCTTCTTCACCTATTGTTGATTTGATTTAAATAAAGACCTCTTTGTATGTTCTGAAGTAACTGAATCAGAACCATTTTGTGGTCCTCTATGCATCTGCATCAGAACTCAAGGAGATTGATCTCTCCAAGCTGGCGTCACCCAGACTGTGGGAATACACTGCCTATGTATTTTTGGACTCTGTTGATACATTTAAAAACCAGCTAAAAATATTTTTATTAAAAGGTTTAGTGGGTTTTTTATGAAACGCATTTTTGACTGTGTTGTTTCTTTTTTTGTCGGCATTGTAGATTGTATGTTCTTGGGCTACTCTTTTTTGTAAATCACTTTGTGACATCTGTATGGGAACTTGTGGTACATAAATAAATTTTTATTTACTTTACTCATTTCCTTAAGAAAAGTACTGGTATTATCCCCAGGCGCCAAACCGAGATCCCTGTAGACTACAACCTGAGGTGGATTCACAGAGCCTAAAAACATCTTTACAAAAAGACTGAAGTTCGGGAAGTTTGGAAAAGAATAAGTAAACAGTCTGGGCCATTTTATATTTTACAATTATCATATTTGTTTCAATTCAAGGTTTTTCAGATAGCCTAGATACAAAAACATTTCAAATGCACCTATTTTGTCATTTCACAAACATAACTAAAAAGTTCCACGCAGATGAAGCTGTGACAAAAGTGATTCTTGTCCAAATAACTTTTTGTCTTAAAAATCCTGTAGAGAAATTGTACCGTTCTTCTGTTATAGAAGTAGGTCGAAGCAGAGTGGAAACCTCCACTGAATCTGTCTGCAGTTCAAACTCATCAGCTGCCAGCTCCAAGGCACTTGGCAGCCGATAGTCTTTGACACATTGGGGCTATATGACAGGCTCATTCAAATTAAACTTTCAAATCTAACCTCAAATCTAGAGGTTGAAATATGAGAGAAATGGTTATGTTGCATAATATGATTAATGACTCTCTGAGAGAAGTTTATGTGTGTCGTTTTGCATTTACTATCTTAGTTTTGTGTGAAAAACATTTTAAATATATTGTGCTACTTTAAAGACAAAATTGAGTTAACAATATAACTAAGACATCTTAAACTAATAAAATGTGTTTTTTCCGCATCTGTTTATTATATCAACATTATATTAACTCAACAACTTTGTTCTTACTTTAGTCTACTGCTGGTATCAGGTGCGAAATCAAATATGAGAACACATGTGCACACTTGAGAAAAGACCTCATCGGACAACATGGTTTTATAAAGAAGTCAAAACTAAGCTACAAAGAAATAACCATTTTAAAAAAGTACAAAATCTGTTTACATTTCTTTTTATGCATTTCTGTTCCAGGATTATTATCCATGACATCTGCATGCTATTTACTTATAGATTTCTGTTCAATACAGTAAGAGTAGCATATTGTAACTTAGGCCAAGAGAATGGCCTAAGTTATTTTTTGCCAAATTATTATTATTATTATTATTATTATTATATTATTATTATTATTATTATTATTATTATTATTATTATTATTATTAACTTTTGTAAAGATAAAAAAAAAAGAAAAAACATAATAAAGGTCATTATTTTTGGAGGAGACGATTTGGAAGATCAGGTTTGTCCGATACATTTGTGCTGAAGTTTCCCTGGGAACCACGAGGTGGCAGTAAAGGCAAAGAAGCAAACAGAGAATGTAGTTTCAATAACACAAATTTACAGTATTGATTATCTCTCCTCAGTCGACACCATTTCACAGCAACAAAATGTATACATTTCGTCCAAAAATTTGACCTGATGCAAGTTTTCCTGACTGTTACGTCACTGGCTCAAAGTCCAGAGAGAAAGCATCGTGCGGCCTCTTGTGCTTTGGCACTCTGGTAAGAAATGCAAACGCGTCTTGAGGCTCATATATCAGAAAGCCAGGCCACTCTGAGATGGAGTAAATAGCAAACACAGACGGAAAGCAGCAGGGGCGGAAACTGAGAACGTGTTAGACAGATGGACAGCAATGAAAGACACATTAAGTTGGTGGAAAAAGTGTGGAAATATCTAAGGGGAAAGTGTAAGATTCCAGACTGCAGAAGAAGGCAGTTAAGTTTTTTTTTTTTATTCCCTGTGGGGGTTGTGAAAATACTGTAGAGGGGGGAAAAAAGAATGACTGAAAAAAATACTGCCGACCAGCTGAATGCCTTCATGGACATGGTTCATTGAGAATTGTAGAGTGCAATAGAGTTAGCTGTTGTTTGCATGCATATTAACCACAGTTAGAAAAAAAAAATCCACCTAATTTATTTGCCACAAGCATGGTTTGGATATTCTAAGCTGAATCAAAGTGGTAAAGTAATTTTTTTTTTCCTACTAATTAATTTAATCAAGATAAGCTCATTACTTTTGTGGTTTGTCACCGTGGAAGTCAAGATGTCAGGTTCTCATTTTACAAGAAAATTTGAGAGATTTCCCACATTTCCTTTCCATGGAGTGGCCGCCATTTATAAAGTCGGGTTCTAGCTTGTTCATGGGAACCTAAGCATCTTCTGAGCGCAATTTACAAAGGCAAGTGACGTGACTGCTTCAACTGTAAATGCAGTACCAAGATCTGGTGACGTGTGAATGCAGTAACCAGGTATTTATGGATTACATAGATGATAAGTTGCAGCAACTATCTGCACAAAGTGCTTCTTCTTAAAAAGAAACACATACAAGCAGGTTGAGAGAGGAATGACAGTAATGCCTATGTGTGAGCATTCTTCATGACACCAAACATGGCATGGTGCATGACCCTTGACTTCCAGAACCCGCACATTAAGTGTCTCGCAAAACTTTTCACAACTCTGGGCTTTCTTACATGACGTCCAATAATAACCAATAATTTCATTGTAATTTAATGGTATTTCATATGTAAGAACAACTCTTAACTAGTTCATGGCTGTGAGGTAGAGTAGCTGGGGACTTGAGCTTTAAGTTTGTGCACTGTATCACACTAAAAGCATGCCCCTCTTATGACTAAGCAAAATGGGTTGAGTACATGAAGAATAAAGAAATGCTCCTAAAAGCACAAAGCAATATAAGTTCCTCCTTTTTCAATAACATTTATTGTGCATAACCAACTGGAGAGACACAGAAGATGGATTAACCTGCACAGAACATTTTCCTTGCACACATACTGCTGCCAAGATTCGAAACAAAAAATAGGGCAATAGCAATATACAAGTAGTTGCATGTTATATTCTGCAAGACAGTTTATGCAAATCATATTAGCTTACACAGCACATTTTGTCTGACAGGGGGGGGAAGGATCAGCACATTCAAATGAAATTGAGATCAATAAAACATTCCAAAATGACCATTTTTCATATTCAGTCCCAAAAACTGCAAAGCATGACATTGCAGAATGACAGAAATATGGCTTTGTGGTTAGTTGTAGTGAAATTTCAAATATTTTGTCTCAAACCATATCAACGCCTTGCTGGCTGGCAGCAGTTGGTTGCATCACAACATGGCTGTGGTCAGCAATCATTGACAAGTAAGACTCGCTGTTGCTCCAGTCACGGGGCTGAAACAGAACTGTGGACAGCATGCAGCGAAACTGGGACTGTAGTGAAAATAAAACACTGCTGAGGGGAAGTAAAGTTTTGTAATAGAAAATTTGAAGAATACATATTTTATATGCATTCATATTTTACACATATTTGGCGTGAACATTTTTTTTTTAACTAATTGTATTTAACTTTAAAGCCATCCTTCAGACTTTAAAATGAAATCACTCAATCGTTATTTTATAAAGGCATTGTCTGTTCTCCCAGAAACAAGTTGCAAGTCCATAGTGATATCTATGAACCTGGTTAGAGTTGTTCCGCATACATTCATATTTATTCTTCTTCATTTTTTTCTCGTTACTCACGTTCTCATTGAAGTTACTGCAAGGCAGACAGATTTATAATGGGCCAGATTGCTTGTTTCATAATTGGTTATTGTGTTTTGTTTTTTTGTCATGTAAAGTACTCTGAACTGCCTTGTTGCTGAAATATGCTATGCAAATAAACTTCACTTGTTCAACTAGTGTAAAAATAAAAGTAAATATTGTGATTTCATACTTATGTCAAGCCAAAGAAAAAAAAAGAAAGTGTTCTGTTAGGGGATTACACATAAAGAAAAAAGTTTTCAGAAATCTATAGTCATTTTCTTCAAGTACAGGTCTTAAGAGTCTCCACAAAACAAAAGTGCCTCCCTCATATTTACTGAAGACTCCACTTTTTGTTGTTAATCTTCTTTTGCAAGAAAGTGTGCCTCCCACTTGGGACGCCTGTGTCCCATTTTACGCATTTAAAAAGTGGCACTGTGCTCACGCATCAAGCAGAGAGGAGCTGTTGTAGTAATGACTTAGACTTGGACAGGAACAAACAAACAGATTCACTGTCATAGTTTGCAGGAGATTCTCCATCCATGTCAACACACATCCAGGCTCATAGGGCATCAAAGTCGAACTCTGGCTCAAGCATCTTAAGTTTAAACCGTGAAGCGGCTCAAAAGTTTCAGAATTTATGTAGACGTGTCAAAATTTTTTCATTATACTGTACCTGTTGTGACTTGGATTCACTCCAAGCAGGATATGCAGTTTCTCTACACATTCTTACTGATAAATGTTGAATACCTGCGACGAAAATTCAGACTTATTCAACAAGTTGTATTTGTCTTTAATAATTAATGTTTTTGTGTGTGTGTGTGTGTTACTCTCTGTTGCACAATAAGGATGCTTTTTTTTTCAACAGAAATACAGCATTCTCATTCTGCCTCCGAAGTGTCCTGCATTCACCTGTTTTGGTGACACATACCTCTCTGCGTCAAACCTCGTCATCCTCCCCCATTTCTCACCAAACCTCTGTTTGTGTGCATTTTTGAACCTGACAGATTGGGCAAGCTCCTTGTTTACTTTCCCTTGCAAAGCATCAGCTGCAGCTCTCAGCCGAATCCCGGCAATTACTGTAATCAGCCGAGTGACATGCTTGTGTGGAGTTACTGCGGTTTGCAAATATTGTGGGAAAATGTATTCATATATAAAAAAGCTTCACTTTCCTCCTCTCAACAGGCATTGAGATGTTTTTGCCTGAATGTGTTTGTCCTCTGGAGGTGGACAAACACCCGTCCTCTCCTTGCGTCAGTGCAGGTTTTTGAAGGCGTGTAAAGTGAGAAAACACATAAAAACAGGAAGTTTGGCTTCAGGAAAAATAAAAGGAGGGGAAGAAACCCAAAAATACAAAGGTCATGTTCAAACATTGGAAGCACAACGGAGCAGACAGATAATAACTCCTGACTGAAGTGTCCTGCCCAAAACACTGCAAATACCACCACCCTCCTCCAAGTACTCATTAACAGCATCAGTAGCAAAACATGTC